ATTATTATTATTATTATTATTATTATTATTATTATTCAGTCAGAAAAACTGCAGCCCAAACCATAGGGACTACAGACAAGATTTTAACATTGTAGTTAAAAAACTTAAAAGTACGTAGGAGAAAGATAATCAGACATGTCAATCTATAGGGGGCGCTATAATCAATGTCTTTGCATTTGGTCCTCCTATCTTCTAAACCATAAGTCACAAAAGTTTTTGGCTTATAGCAACACAATCCCTGGACACCACTGATTCACATGGTATAGGTCATGCCCATTTCCACCAAAAATATGTTCTACAGTGCAAAATTTGCAAAAACTACTTTTATTTTTTATTCAAAGGTTTAAAGTCCAATTGCCACAAAACTTATCATCCTATATGTGGTTAGTATGATGATTTTATGTTTCGAAGGACAAGTATAAAAATAGTAAAATGTGTGTGTTAAACTTAGGCAAATAGCTTATGCAAGCTAGCTGAACAGAAATTCTGCTGTATCTTCAAAACAATTGTACATAATCAAATGAAAATCATACACATAATACATGTGTCATTCTTAAGTTGGCAGAGCAAATTTAAAAAACACTGATGTATGGGGGTGCTATAAAACACAAAAAAAGAAGCAAAAATGGCTTATCGGATATTCATGATATTTGATAGACCTTTAAACCCTCATCCTGAGCTTAAACCTAAAAGATCATTATGAACAAATAAAGTGGGCATGGCTGACTGTCTTAAATGTAAATTTTCACTAAATAAATTATGGAGCAACCTGTTAACATTCAACGGAACGCCCGTGTGCTGTTTAACATTTCGTTTTATTTTGAAACGTCTTTCTGTGTTCCCGTTTAATCTGTGTCCATGTTATGTTCGACGCATCAAAATGGCCATCTAGGCCCTCCTCTTTCGATTGACACCTCATTTGACCAATTGGGTTCAAGTATCAGCTGTCCAGAGCCAATAATAAAAGAGAAGTGACCAACTTCCGGTTTCTGTCATCCTGGGCTAGATTGAGAATCGGCCAGTCAGCTCCGAGCTTCGTTCTGATGCCAAAGCTGTGCAGCCAATCACCGTACCTTTCATTTGGTATATATACTGAGGGGGTGGGAACTTTGTTTATGACGYCACAAGCTAAACACAGAGTAGGTTGCCATATTTAGGCAGTTGTGCTATGCTACCGAAGAAAGCCACGTTCACAGGGAAAAAAAATTCCATTATTTTTTGGCCAGTTAGCTGACTAAACATGTTGATAAGATAAAAATGTGTTTGTTATTAAGTGTTCCGAGTGCTTCAAGACATGGAAGAGTGATTTTTGTGGCCAGGAGAAGTAAAAATGTTTGGATAAAAACACTTCCCATCTGCCATTTTGAGTCACTAATTTCGTCCTATTTGAGGACGAAAATGCATCAAAAGTAAGTGAAAAACAATTTTTTTTTCCGGGCATTGGGCCCCCATGATGCACTTCGGTCCCCACGAGGCTGCTTTTTTGGGAAAAATTTCCCCACGTTGTAGGAAAAACCCATACACACACATCTATGGATAACTCTTCTTACATGAACTAAAACATAATTCACACTATGCATCTAAACCTAATTAGTAGAGTCCAAAAAAGCTGCTAAAAGGTGAGGACCAAGAAAAGGACCATCCTTTACACCAAAGATCTTTGCCTCTGCCATACTTCATTCAGTTTTTGCATCTTTTTATTCTGTTCTTTCTGTAGATTTGCTACCCTTTTTTTAACCAAAAAACTTTAGAAAGGAAGTTGGGGGATTTATATGTAATTTTTGGCTCTAGAAAAGGACGAGACTGATGGTGTATTGCCGTTTTTGCATGAGATTGAGATTGTTTAAAGAGGTCGTGTTGACCAGGATGCAACAACACGTCCAGGGACTCCAGAGGGTTAAAGCAGAGGAATGAAAGACAGAGCACTTAGGAGTTATGATAAAAGCTTTGCAGTAAACTTTATAGAAAAAAATATGAAAGAATTGTATGAACAGTGGCATTGACAGAAAAAAGGGAGACAGAAGCAAAAGTGGCTGTAGATAATGATATTCTGTTTGGGAGATAAAAAGAGGAATGCAATTAAATTAGATGTACGATACAGATTTACAATTAGACAATGATGTTAGAAAGGCCAGATGGATATGGTTTGGACATGTCCAGAAGAGGCACAGTTGGTATATTGATTTATAGATGTTAATAATACAGCTACCAATGAAAAGACAAAAAAGAAGGCAATAGAGGGCATGGATATGGAGCGACATATTTCTAGAGACCTTGATCTATTTAACCCTCCTGTTATGTTGCGGGTGAAATTGACCTATTTTAAAGTTTAAAAAAAAACAGTTTAAAAATAGTTTTAAAGTGTTTTTTTCTGCATGAAACTTTTTTCTATTTGTCTTAATATGTATAATTTACATATAAAATGAAAATGATTCATTTTACATTTTTGCTGCTTTAGGCCCTAATGTTAAAGTGGATGAAGGTTTGTGATAGTCAGAGGTTTCTGTTCATTTAGACAATAAGTTTATTTGCAACATAAATCTTCATGACTCATTTGTCTTGGTTTTTAATTAGCAGGTCAATTTGACCCAGAATGGAACAGGTGTCTCAAGTTCAATTATAAACATCACTCCCCAAAAAAATTTTTTT